ATCCTCGTCGTCGCAATTCCCTTCTAAGAGTTCTGTTTGTTCATTTTGAGATAAGACAAGACGGGGGAGAAGTAATTTAAAAGTGAAAGGGTCCAACTTCTCTGGGAACGCTGAGATGAGTGCTTCCAACAAGTCGCACCCGGTGACAAAGATGTCGTCTGCCTGGTCGGTGATGAGGAGGAAACACGCGTTAATGAGGGGATCTGTGAATTCTGGGGCCTTTTTAACTACAAAAGGGGCTTCGCAGATGAATTTACCGATAGCGAGTTTTAAGTTGACGTTTGCTGTAGGTAAGAGGTGAAGGAGATGATTAAGAAGGTCGACGTAGAGATTAGGGAAGTCAGGGGGTGGGGAATAGGAGATCTCCTTTAACATCAAAATGATTTGGGAGACGTTTCCTGCTGTAGTTGAAGCGATTTGAGGGGTCACAAGACGGACAATTTGTGAGATTTCTACTTCGAAAGATGGGCCGAGAGAGGAGTAACAATCGGTGATGATTGTAGAGACTACATCGATGAAGAGTGGATGCGTCGAATGGGTTAAAGCCCATTGAAAGATTTCCTTTTGAAGTGATTGATCTGCTAATAAGAAGATGTGTGTTAATAAGACGACGCCGATGTGTTTGAGAGTGTCTAATTTAGAAATTAATATAGTCAGAGCTGTTTGATGGTCAAAGGACTTCCCTTTGTTGATCGCTTGTTTAATTAACACACAAATCATTTGACTCGCAGAGGAATTTTGTGTGTTTAATAACTCGTGAAATAAGATCGAAATGTAATCGTCGTATGTTAAACACTCTGTTAGTAAATTTAATGCTTCGACTTGCTTACTCCCATCTAAGGAATACATTACTAATCTCTCAATCTGCTGCCGTCGAATCTCCTCTTGCATGATGTTTTTCAGTTCTCTTCAGCTTTTTGAGGTTTTTCAAGTTACTCGAAAGACTCCCATTTTCTGAGTTCTGTGTTGCATGACAACTTACTTCACAATTGTTTGAAAAAGCTGTTACTAATATGTATTAGTATTATTGCTAAGAAATATAGTTCTTCTCTAAATCAAAATCACCTTGTACCCATTGAGTTTTTTAGCGGAGGCCTATGTTTGAAAGCAGTGGGAGGTTTAATGATATTTTGATTGTAAAAGAATTCCGTGCCGATATAGTGGCACTAATTTTAGCAAACAAAAAATGAAAAGCCAAAAAGTTCAAAAGTTGAAATTTTTTGAATCTTTTTGAAATAAATTTTAAATTTAGTAAAATTAGAATAATTATAATTATAATACTATTAAATCTCAATACTATTATTTAAGAATTATGAATTGTAATTATTTTATTTTTTAATTTAATACATAAAATTATTAATGTACTATATTATTTAATGCATATATCATAGTTAATTTATAATACATTTATTATAAATAAATAACTCCCAATAAATTTAGTAAAATTTATAGTATATTAATTTAGTATGACTAGTATTATTTAATAATACAATATTTTAATATATTTATTATAATTTTAATTAACATAAAGAAGTCCCATAATACTAACTTTTGTTGGGATTGATATATAACAAGAACTAATACATATCTATATGCAAGTTAGAAGTACGATGACGACAAAAACTATCTCTAATCGTAAATTTTCTGAATATCCTTGACGATTAACTAGACTTTCTGAGTACTCTTTTTGTTTATATATGATCAATTTTTTTTCTATCTCAGAATATACTTTTGGCGTTAATTGTAATTTAATTCTTTTAACTTTCTTTTTATTATACTTTATAATTAAAAAATTTATCGTTTATTGTTTTTATTAAATCCATGTTTTTTATTGCTGTGATAATTTAAGTAATTATATACAAAATAACGTCTTTTTCTATATAATAAAAAACGACATTTTTTATTATCTTGTACAAACGTGTTGAAATATTTAAGTATCATCAACCAGATTTACTATAAATAAATTTTAATTTTACTATATTAGTAAATCTATATAATATAATTAAAAAGTTATAAAAAACCTATTAACGAATGATGTGTCAAAACTCCATCACGAATAATCCAATTCGTTATGGAGGTGATCTTAGGGATCGACCTTGGCACCACATACAGTTGTGTCAAGCGTTTTAATGTGACGACTCAGGAAGTTGAATCTGTGATTTTTTCCAATCGAGATTCTTTACTGAGAAGTACAGTGAATTTTGACAACGGGCAGATTGTAGTTGGTGGAACGCCATCTTCGAACTGCTTTTGTGATGTGAAACGTCTGATTGGCCTGAAAATGACAGACACGGAGATTTTACCCGATTTGCAAAAATTTTCGTTTGGTGTTGAAGCCAAAGAGAACAACGAGATTGTTCTCATTTTGCAAAAGCGGAACGACGAGACATATAAGTGCAGTCCAGAGGAGTTGACCGCAGTTGTTCTCTACAAACTGAAGATGTCTTCTCTTGTGGGACTTCCTCCTACCACACCAGTCAAGGCCGTCATCACCGTTCCGTCTCAATTCATCGAGCCACAATTGTTAGCCGTTGAATTTGCTGCGAAGATGGCTGGGATTACGGTGATACGGTTAGAGCGCGAGCCCACCGCTGCCTTCTTTGCCTACAAACAATTGAAATATTCAAAAGAGGACTTGAGTCACGGGACAATGACGGTATTAGTCTTTGACTTTGGTGGTGGGACGTTAGATGTGAGTATCGTTGAGATGAGTGGTGCGAGGACTCGTGTAAAAGCGACGTGTGGGAACAATCACTTAGGAGGCCTTGATATCGATGAAGTGATCAAGCAGCATGTCTTAGACGAGTTAAAAGTAGTCGACGAAGAGACTTACACCAAGTTATGTGTGACAAGTAGTGCTGAGAGAAAGCGACAACGGATGAAGACGTTAGCACTTCATTGTGAGGAAGCGAAGATCAAATTGTTTAGTAATGACGTCGAGAGGTGTTTAATTGAACCATTTGAAGAGGTGGATTTTCAAATGGTACTTGAAAGACACCAAGTCGAGAAATGGTGTGAAGTTGTGTTTGAAGAGTGTATGGTAGTCGTTCGAAAGTGTCTTGCAAAGGCCCGACTGGACAAACATGATATCGACAGAGTTCTTGCTATTGGAGGGTCCTCGAAGATCGATAAGATTAAGGAGATGTTATACAGAGAGACTTCGATTGTTGTGGAACAAGATGTCGACCCTAAAGAAGTCGTTTCGATTGGAGCATGTTTACTCGCGAAAGACATTCTTCAACAGACACAAGACATTTCCCTTCCAGAAGAAATTGTGTGTAGTCCTCTTCAAATCGGCAATTTCAATAAGGATAAAAAACTTTCATTGGTCACTGTCATAAACGAAAATGAACCAATGCCTTGTAAAAAAGAAATCTCAGCAGTGACTTTTTTCGACAATCAAACATCAGTCAAAATTCACGTCTTTCAAGGGGGGAGAGAAATACAATTTTTCACAGTAGATAACATCCCTAAGTATCCGAAAGGTATTTGTAAATTCGCAGTGACATTCGAAATCACCGCAAATGGCTTTTTAAAGGTTGATGCAAGACTGGTCAGACCGTCTTTCAAGACCGCGGAAAAATCAGTGACAGTTAATATACAACACAAAAATTCGAGACAAGGCGAAATCGATCATTTCCAAACACTCACACGAAAAATTATTTAACTGCAAATTAAATAGTTGTTCTTAAAATAAATTATAGTATAATTTTTAATTAATTTAAACACGACATTAACCTTACGAAGTGAAAACTGGATAATTTATATCCTTGATTTTTTTACTCAAAATAAGTCACTTTTTTATTTTTGTATTTGAACTAAAAAGATCTTAAATTAAGAACGGCGTGTCACAAACCAATTTAAATAATGAAAAATTGATAAAAATCGAAGCGCTCTCATGAAAATTTATGTGTATGTCTCGTAACAGCAAGTATTGACTATTTTGAACACATGGAAAATAGGAAACATTGGTCTGTAAAGACCAGTAGTTTGCGCGAAAACTAATCGATTTCGTGTTTTGAATTTATTTTTAATTATTCTAAAAATAAATATGATCTAGATAAATCTTATCCAGATTTCACCTTCCCACAAAAAAAGTTGATTCAGTTGACTTGCTAAGGTTAATATTTTAAAAAAAAGCTGTTAAAAATTAATTAACGAGCTGGTTTTTATTTTTTTATTATCATAATTAAATCAAATTTCAATTAATTTGTTATAATTATTTATTATTTTTGATTATTGTTAATTATTAAAACTTGTTAAATAAAATGATTGAATTGATTTAAAATTAAACATATGTTACAAATAATAAAAAAGAATTGATGGAACTATTGACTATTTACTAGTAATATATTATATTTTTACTATATATAGTACTATAAAAATAATAAAAAAATTAGTGAATAGAAACGAACGGATTTAAAAATTATGTAACTTTTTAAAAAGTTGACAAGTCCTAAATTCCTTTTTTTCAAAAGTAGTTTAACTTAAAAAATGAGAAAAAAGAATATCTAAATAAAAGATATCAATCTTGTAATTTAAAACAAATCCTGAATATTGCCAAATATTGGTACTAAAAATTGTTTTGTGACGTGGCACCCCAAACCCAACTTTTTGCAATAAAAAACCCAGTTGTTCACAATTTATATAAACAATTGTTTTACTATTCAAATATAATAAAAGAACCATAAAGGAACTAATTAATTACTCTAAAACCTCTTTTGTTGGGATTTAAAAAGTGAACCTAATAACAGAAATAGATGGGTAAACTGAAGGTATAACAGGGCGAAATAAAAGCAATGACATAAAAAAAGTTGCAGAAATAACGTCTATAAACTTGAAAAGTTTTACAAAGAGAACTTTGAAAAAAAGAAGATGGACAAGGGAAAGTTAGCAAAAATGGACATTGGGTTTTATGAGGCGTGCGGTCCACGGCCTCAGATGGAGGATGCCCATGTCATAATCCCTGATTTGAACAAACAGTACAAGATCAAAGGCGACCAGATGGCGCTCTTCGCCATTTTCGATGGTCATGGAGGCAAAGAGGCGGCGCAGGTTGCACAGGAAGTCTTCCCAGAAATATTGGTGAAAGAAAACGATTTCAAGTTGGCCAACTACGAAAAGGCTCTTTACAGTGCTTTCCTCAAGACCGACCAGGAAGTGTTGAAGCGTTCCGAGGCTGAGAGATGGAATAACGGTTGTACTGCCTGTGTTGTTCTTCTTGTCGGTAAAAGATTGTACACTGCCAATCTTGGAGATGCGGAGGCTGTCCTTGGTGTCACCAAACCCAAGGAGAAAGGTTGCAAACCAATGCCACTTTCGACCAAACACAACCCAACGGACGACGCCGAGAAAAAGAGAATTGAAGAAGCTGGTGGACAAGTTGTCTGTGGACGTATTAATGGTATTCTCGCTATTTCGAGAAGTTTTGGTGATATTGAGTTCAAATATCCACACAACAAATCCATGAAAGACTTTGTCTCACCAATTCCTGCACTTCAGGTTTGTTTTCTCCAAATTTTCTTCCTTTATCTGTGCTTTCGTTCGGCACCAACAATTACTTCTCAATCTCGTTCCGTCAACATATTAAATTATAATAAAACTATATATTTATTGATTCAATATAGAGTTAATTTAATAATAAATTGTTAATAATATAATGACAAGTAGATGACTCCCATTGGCAAGAACAATCCGTTTTTGATTTTGACATGTGATGGGCTTTACGAAAAGATGAATTATGAAGAATTGATCACTTTGACTTATGAGAGCATCGAGAAACATAAGAAAAAAGAGTTTGACGCGGTCGCAAAGGACATGGTCGAAGAGTCCCTTAAGAAGGGCAGTATGGACAATCACACCGCCATCGTCGTGTTTTTCAAGTGGAAATAATTCATCGACATTTTAATATTATTTTTAGCTCTTTATTAGTAGTTTATTAGTATACATTTTACTAGTTATTTATAGTAAAATTACTATTAATAATTAATCCAATTATTTCCATTCTTTTATGATACCACAAGGGCCCGAGCTTTGTCCAAGTCGTCCAGAAGCTTTGAAACAATTTCTCCGTATGGTGCGAGTTGGCAGTATTTTTCTGCCGTTGGATGTTCGTTTACAAATAGTGAGAGTTTGATTTGGACGCTGTTTAATAAATATAAGTTTCATTTATTAAATAATACTACTTCTTATTATAATCTAGTTTATTATAATAAACTGTATTATAATAAACTACAAAACTATATTCCTTAATAAGAATTAAAAATGTAGTATAATTTAATTAAAAGTATAGTACAATAAAACAACAAAGGAACAAACAGGATTTCAGCGACTTTTTGGCCGACGATGGTCTTATTACTGTCCTCGGCGACTTTGATGCAATACTCCCAGAAATTTTTGACACTATTCCACTCGAAAGCTTTGCGACAAACCATCTGGAAATAGCCGATACAAGCTTCACAATAGGAGAGTAACGACAAATCACTTTTTCCTTTCTTTGAATAATCATCGCCGGCATGCTTCAAGGACTTGGTTCGTTCCGCAGTGTATATCTCACTCCGATGAACATCTTTCTCCTTCTCAAACCGCTCGGTCTTCTCACTCTTCCACCGATCGTCACTCCGCTGAGAAGACCGACGCCGCGTGCGGTCGTCGGAACGACTCAGAGACCGTTTGTGTGGGTCGCGGTCTTTTTTGCGGTCACGATCACGGCCGCGCGACAAGACATCTTTCTCGTCCTTTTCGGGCTTCTTCTCACTCTTACGGAAATTGAGAGTCATCTTTAAGCTTTTTTCAACTTTCCCGTCTTGACTTTTCGGTGATTCTTTCGAACGCTCTTTCTCTTTTTCTTTCTCTTTTTGACGACGGCGACGGTCTTTTATACGACGATCAAGATCCTCGTTCCGCACTAACGAATCTTTCGATAAATCTGAGGAGTAATTAAAATCAAGAAAATCATGAAGATACCGCGTCGCCTCTTCTTCCATCTATTCTTCTCAATTTGTAAGTTGTTTTTAGATGAGTTTCTTTCTGTCTTTTATTGTCATTTTTGAACTTATTATTTTATATTATTTTAACGTTAATTAGTTGACTTAATAACGAGTTTTTTTATTTCATTATTCCTATTAAAAAGTAGAGAAATAACGTCAATAAAAATAACCAAAAACAACTCGTTAATTATTTTCTCATACAATTGTAAGTACTATAATTATAGTTGTATTTCCTATAAACAATACTATAAACTCGTCAAAGATACAAACACAAAGACCGAACTTTTCACTCAAATGACGACTAAATTACTTAGCAACGTGTTTATTCTTTCTGTTGGTACACTGTAGGAAGATCTTCTTTACCAACCGGGAGACTTCCATCTAATAAATCATTCGTATTTTTCAGATATAACGGAGCTTCATCTTTCTTTTCTTCGATCTTTCCATCGACTTCATCGAAGGCTTCACTCACTTTAATGCCATACATGATATATCCTCCTAGAGAGTCCATTAAGACTGTTGGATGTGTGCGGTTGGGTAACACTTGAATAGTTCGACAGAATGGTTCGAAGAGTCCGTAGTGGACTAAAGCTTTCTTCTTAGTTAAGTAATTATAAAGTCTTGAAAGACCTTCTAAATATTGACTGTACACCACTAAAGACCCCGACTTCTTCAAAGACTGAAATAAGTACCGAACAGTTTCTAATGGATTAACATGACATACTATTACTAATGAATCAACTAGAACAGGAAGACAGTTTGGTTTGAAGTCAACTATACGATAACCATATAACTTCTCTTGTTTAGTTTCTTTTAGTTCTTTTAATTCTTTTGGTTCTTGAGTTTCTTCTTTCACTTCTTTAATTACTTCGTCTATTCCGTCTTGACAAATCTCACTCCCATGATTAACGTCTTGAGAAGTTATATTTATACTAGTACTAATACTATTCACAGTTTTACTAATACTATTAATATCTTTACTAGTTGTTTTACTATCAATTGGAGTGACGACGCTCTCGACGCGCGAAGGTACTCTATCGCGCTTGGGTGCTACTATAGGAACCAAGTTGTACTGTTCCTTCGAGAAGCGAATAGCATAGACATGAAGATTGTCCGTCACTGCTCGTAAAATACTGCCAATAATGAGTCCATTACAACTCTCTAAGACGGCGACGGACCCTCGTAAGTTTGCGTTAAACAATATATAGGCTAAAGCGTCTTCGCGGATCTTCCCGACTTTAAAAGCGCCTTTGGACGAATAAACGGAACATAAATTAATGGGGGAGGCTTCGAGGATTTGAAAGCAGATGACGTGTTTCTCGACTTTCTTCTTTAAATATTTGGTCTGAGAGTATCCCGTTTTGCCTTCAAAAGTGTCAGATTTTTTTAATAATTCGGATATGATCTCTTCTCCAGCTAATCCTTCACTTTTCATTTTACTGATGTCATCACTTGTTAAATGCTGGGCTGTATTCTGATCATTCAGATTGCGATTGTCTTTCGTCACTTCATCTTCAGATTGACAAAACTGATTCACAATCTCATCAGGAGATTTCCCAGTGACAAACTGATGACCTTTGATTTCTACCCATTGCCCATACCGTTTCCCTACTAAGGAACTAAGATTAACCGTACATTTAGAGACTTTATAACTCCGGTCAGAAACTACCTCAACTACTTTCGCAAAGTCATCGCGTTTCAAAACTACCCAATCATTCGCACAGACCACACACTTCGAGTTCGCTTCGACTTCCATTGGACTTATGATAGTTTTTTATTTTTTTCTGGATAATTAGAATAAAATAAAAGGGTTCGAAATTTTTTATTGTTATTAAATTTGTTTTTTATGTTAAATTTTATAATAATAATATCATAAAAATTTATTATTATTCATTTCGGTTTTAAGTATAAGTTAATAATTTAATAAGATATAATTAATAGAAAATAAAAGTAAATATTTTTTTTATTATTTATCAAATAGTTTACTATTAATTGAAATAAACAATACAAATAAAAATACATTAATTTTTTTTAAAGGAAAAAGTCAAACATGAATTTTGGATAATAAAACTTTTTATTTTTTAACCAATAAGTTATTATCAATAATATAGTTATAGTTTTTTTTGTAACATAAACAAACAAAAAACAAAACTAGAAAAATATTTATAATTAATTAAAATGATTAATTAAAAAAAATTGTTTTTAAAAAAAAAGTTTAGTCAAAATACACAAAACGACAAGAAAACTCAACATTATTGTCACAATAATTCCACGTGAAGTCAACACCTGAGTCAAAACGAAGGGATTCTGTGATTTAAAAAGTGAAAATCTCACAACTCGTCGATGGAAACTCAATCCACATCACTCAATAATCACGACTCATCAATCACAAAAAGTGAGCAATCAGATTCAATCAAAAAAATGCCTTGTCTCAAGATCTCCCCACGAAAGGACATCAACGACAGGCTTCATTCACAAGCAAGCAGAAAGCATTTTGACTCGGCGGAATATTTCTCTGCTCAATACAGCGACAAACCAAGACGAACAGAATGATTGATAATATACATAGTTTATTTAACTATTTGTTGCAATTTGATTCATTATATTACTTATATAGTTTAATATGCTATAAATTATATAGTTTTCAAACAATGATGAAGTTCGACACAAATGTTATTCAAATGTTATTCAAAGAAAAGAGAGAAAAGAGTGAAGAAGTGAAAGAGAGTGATTTGTGTTTAACTTCCTAATAAAAAAAGACAAAAATTGTATTGTATAAGTCGAAATGACGCAAAATTTCGGGAAAAACGAAGAAGTTTTCAATGGTTTTATTTTACTGCAATGAGAAAGAGGAGAAAGAATAGAAAGTGATGATGCTGGTGATGAAGACGGAAAAGTCAGAACTGAGAGTGGGGCCATGTCAATTCTATCTTTTTCAATCTTAGGGTTGTCATTCACTCAATTGGCGAAAAGAGAGAATAGTGGGGTATTTGAGGAGAGAAAACGGATGTATATAAGGCATGACGAAAACTTGAAAAGACAAACCGTGTTTTCAACATGCCAGCGTCAAAGAAGGATAAAATTACTAAGCCCGAAGAGGAAAAGACTGACAAACCAAAAGTCGCCGCAAAGCCAAAGACCACCAAGAAGAGCAAACGTCCATTAACACCATACTTAAGATTCGCTCAAGCCAAACGGGAAGAGATAAAAGCAGGCCTTAAGGAAGGTGAGAACCTTAACATCAAGATGGGACAAATCTGGAAGGAACTTTCGGAGGACGAAAAGAAAGTCTATACTGAGGAGTACAAGAAAGAAAAGGATGTCCTCGACGAGGCTGTCAAGCAAAGAAAGGAGAAGTCCAAGAATAATCTCAAGGCTTCTCGTGAGGCTGCTAAAGCCAAGAAAGCTGCCGAGTCAAAGTGATTTCTGTCTTTTATTTGCTTTTTGTTGCTTTATGTTTTATTGTTTTTATTTTAATTGAAGACTTCGAATATATTTTAGTATCCAACAATTAGACCTTTTTATCACTTCTTTATATTATTCTTTCAAAATAATATATTTTGAAAGAAATAATAACATATTTCTTTTTTTTGTTATTTATTTTATAATAAATTATATTATAAATTATAATAATGTTTTTTATTATTAATTAATTATTATTATTTAATAATTTACACATTTAACTAAGGCGTGTATTGTATTTGAATAACACACTAATTGCAAAAATTAGTGTGTTATTAAGGACAAAAATAAACGTAAAACAAAGTCGAAAATTTCAAAATTAAGCGGATGGCGCTTTGGTTCTGGAGACACCGACGGTTCTTCCTCTTCTTCCAGTAGTCTTAGTGTGTTGACCTCTGACTCTCAAACCCCAGTAATGTCTAAGACCTCTGTGAGCTCTCATCTTCTTAAGTGCTTCAATATCTTCTCTAAGTCTGGTTTCAACGGCATTGGCAATGAGTTGGCAGTTCTTTCCATCCTTGATATCTTTTTGTCTGTTCAAGAACCAGACTGGGATTTTGTAGTTGAGTGGGTTGGTCAAAATATCAACAACCTTGTCGACTTCGTCGGCCTTCAAGAGACCAGCACGTCTGTTGACATCAATGCCAGCACGCTTGCAGACAAGGAACGCAAAACGTCTGCCACAACCCTTAATGCCAGTCAACGCATATGGGACCTTTTTCTTACCATCGAGATTTGTGTTGCAAACACGGAGCATGTGCTGGAAGTCTGATTCCTGGGTGACAAATGCCTACTTGTTAGTG